ATTGGGTTGCGGTCAGAGCTTTCTGCAGGTTCTTCCACTGGGTTGCGGTCAGGGCTTTGTGCGGGTTCATCTATTGGTGGCGGTCAGGGCTTTGTGCAGGTTCTTCCATTGGGTTGAGGTCAGAGTTTTGTGCGGGTTCTTCCATTGGCTTGAGGTCAGAGCTTTGTGTAGGTTCTTCCATTGGGTTGCGGTCACAGTTTTGTCTGGGTTCTTCCATTGGGCTGAGGGCAGAGCTTCGTGCTGGTTCTTCTATTGGGTTGCGGTCATTGCTTTCTGCAGGTTCTTCCACTGGGTTGCGGTCAGAGCTTTGTGCGGGTTCATCTATTGGTGGAGGTCAGGGCTTGGTGCAGGTTCTTCCATTGGGTTGAGGTCAGAGTTTTGTGTGGGTTCTTCCATTGGGTTGTGGGAGTGAGGTCAGAGCTTTGTGCAGATTTAGAGCTTCAGGTTCTTCCATTGGAGTGAGGTCAGAGCTTTGTGCAGGTTCTTCCACTAGGCTAAGGTCAGAGCTTTGTGCAGGTTCTTCCACTAGGCTAAGGTTAGAGCTTTGTGCAGGTTCTTCCATTGGTTTGAGGTCAGAGCTTGTACAGGTTCTTTCATCGGATTGAGGTCAGAACTTTCTGCGGGCTCTTCCATTGGATTGAGGTCAGAGTTTTGTGTGGGTTCTTCCATTGAAGTGAAGTCAGAGGTTTGTGCAGGTTCTTCCACTAGGCTAAGGTCAGAGCTTTGTGCAGGTTCTTCCATTGGCTTGAGGTCAGAGAATTGTGCAGGTTCTTACATTGGGTTGAGGTCGGAGAATTGTTCAGGTTCTTCCATTGGGTTGAGTTCAGAACTTTGTGCAGGTTTGTGCAGGTTCCTCCATTGGAGTGAGGTCAGAACTTTGCGCAGGTTCTTCCATTGGATTGTGATCAGAGCTCTGTGTAGGTTCTTCTGTTGGTGGAGGTCAGGGCTTGGTGCAGGTTCCTCCATTGGGTTGTGGTCAGAGCTTTATGCAGGTTCTTTCATTGGGTTGAGGTCAGAGCTTTGTTTACGTTCTTCCATTGGGTTGAGGTCAGAGTTTTGTCTGTGTTCTTCCTTTGGCCTGGGGTCAAAGCTTTGTGCAGGTTGTTCCATTGTGTTTGCAGTCAGAGCTTTTTGCAGGTTCTTTAATTCGGTTGAGGTCAGAACTTTGTGCAGATTCTTCTATTGGAGTGAGATCCGAGCTTTGTGTAGGTTCTTCCACTGGGTTGTGGTCAGAGCTTTGTGCAGGTTCTTCTATTAGTGGAAGTCAGGGCTTGGTGCAAATTCTTCCATTGGGTTGAGTTCGGAACTTTGTGCAGGTTCTTCCATTGGGTTGAGGTCAGAGTTTTGTCAGAGTGTCTGGGTTTTTCCATTGGGCTGGGGTCAAAGCTTTGTGCTGGTTGTTCCATTGGGTTGTGGTCAGAGCTTTATGCAGGTTCTTCCATTGGGTTGTGATCAGAGTTTTGTTTGGGTTCTTCCATTGGGCTGTGGTCAGAGCTTTGTGCAGGATCTCGCGTCACTTTCCTGACCAACCACATGGCAAAGAAATGATCTGAGAGGCAAGTTAGTGGTGAAGCCACCAGGGTTACTTATGCTGCATTCCTGTAGACAGTAAACCTCCATTTCTGAGTCAGACAACTCTTCTGGAATTCTTAGGACGTTCACATGGTTTTTTCTGCTCAGAGAATTTAGATTTATTCTTTAATTGCAAACGCAGCAAGGAACATCACAGCTGAGAAGTCCGAGAAATGCCAGAGGACATGAATGCAGCATCAGAGCAGAAAGGACACTTCCTTCTAGATGTAGGAAAGCCCCATACTGTATTCAGACTAGCTGATTTTCTGTTTTTATTTCTCTTATTTGAAGGCCAATAAAAAAACCAGAAGAACAAGTGAGCGTTCCCAACTACGCAAGGCCGGAGTGAAACCCAAATCCAGAACTGCCAAGGATAGGAAGGAGATGTCAGAGAAGATTCTGAACCTCACCATGGAGATCATTTCTGTCTTGGCTGGAGAGGTGAGGGATTCTGGGAGGGGCACATGACCAGGAATTGGCAGGGTCAGGGGTAGCTTGTGTACCCAATGCTTTTATATGAGTCCCATAGTGGAAATGTATCTTCTCTTGATCCTACACTGGACTGCATGGCTCTTGAAGTCTATAGAAATTTGCTCAGTGGTCCCATCTTCTGATTCCGCCTCCATCTAGAGTAACAGTCTAGCACTTTCACTGAACAGAGCTGGAGGCTGTATAGCGGCATATTGGTTGCAAAGGCGAGCGCTCATTGGTCAGTGCTGACCAATTAGATTCTTTCCTGTGTTTTGGGCACTGTCCCGGAAGAAAGGAACCTCAAAAGGAGTTTGTTTACATGGCCTGTGCTGACCTGTGAGCCTTCGCCCTTCCTCCCGTTATGTTGTTACGCGCCTTTGGCGCTGTGTACTGATAAAGTGCTGGACCACCATAGTGGCTGGAAAGGTCACCAAAGATGGGGGGTCATAAAAGGTCCATGGGGACTGGAGAGTTGGGGAGGGGGTTGTGAGGTCATCTTTCAATTTATGGCAAATAGCCAGCAATCCTGTAAAGCCCAGGCTGCAGGGTGTGTGAAGGGCTTCCCAACAAAGTTCATCCCTTTATGTTTGAATGACGGGAGGTTTGGTGGGGAGTGAAAAGATAGAATTGAGATCCGGGGGGGTGCTGGTATTCTCACCAAAATGATCGATGTGGGTGTGCAATCAGATACAACTCCTATATCTACAAGGGTGGGGAGGAGCATTGTTATGTACCTTTCTCTGTGCTCCTCCGTAGTGCTCTGTGCTCCTCCGTAGTGCTCTGTGCTCCTCCGTAGTGCTCTGTGCTCCTCCGTAGTGCTCTGTGCTCCTCCGTAGTGCTCTGTGCTCCTCCGTAGTGCTCTGTGCTCCTCCGTAGTGCTCTGTGCTCCTCCGTAGTGCTCTGTGCTCCTCCGTAGTGCTCTCCGTAGTGCTCCTCCGTAGTGCTCCGTGCTTCTCTTTAGTAGTGCTCTGCTCTCCTCCATAGTGCTCCGTGTTTCTCCATAGTGCTCCGTGTTTCTCCATAGTGCTCTGTCTGTGCTCCTCCGTAGTGCTCTGCGCTCCTCCATAGTGCTCCGTGTTTCTCCATAGTGCTCTGTCTTTCTCCATAGTGCCCTGTCTGTGCTCCTCCACAGTGCTCTGCGCTCCTCCACAGTGCTCTGCGCTCCTCCATAGTGCTCTGCGCTCCTCCATAGTGCTCTGCGCTCCTCCATAGTGCTCTGCGCTCCTCCATAGTGCTCTGCGCTCCTCCATAGTGCTCTGCGCTCCTCCATAGTGCTCTGCGCTCCTCCATAGTGCACTGTGCTCCTCCATAGTGCTCTCTGCTCCACCATAGTGCTCCATAGTGCTCCTGCATGGTGCTCCTCCATAGTTCTCTCTGCTCCTCCATTGTGCTCCATAGTGCTCCTGCATGGCTGCTCCTCCATTGTGCTCCATGGTGCTCCTTCATTGTGCTCCATGGTGCTTCTCCATAGTGCTCCGTGCTCCTCCATGGTGCTTCTCCATAGTGCTCCGTGCTCCTCCATGGTGCTTGCTGGGTGTATTTAAAATAGACATTCCTATGTATGATAGTAAGTAGTTCTGACCTTGAGGTGTAAGACTCCCCCACACTGTTGGATTTTTTTACCTGGATTGGGCGGATGATAGATCTGTCTGTATGTGGAGATCTTATTATCACGTCTTCTTGTCTAGGAATGTACAGTCATGACAAAGTCTGGCGAGCCTGTTGTCCCCAGGAACTATCTGCCAGCCGCTGGCGGTCCCGTGTCGGCATCCGTAGCACAGACTCTGAAACAGGAGAGGCAAAGCGACCAGAAAATCCTGGATCTCACCTTCCGAATCATCCAGCTGCTGACCGGAGAAGTGAGGTTCTGGGAAATGGGTTGTATCTTTGGATGGTTAGGGATGTGCCGGGGTGGTGATCGTGTCATTGTGATTGTCATCTTAGGGCCCCGGAGGCAGTGAGGATGCCACTAGTTCCCATATTGGGAAAGGGAAGAACAAAGGTGCGCATAAGAGTGTGATAGTGGAGAGGAGCCAACCTTCCACCTCTCAGGGTAAGAGTCGCTCGTCTGTTCAGTCTTCACCAAGTGGTACAATGTGTAGAAGTTACATGAAAATCTCTTTGTGTTCTTCTTTTGCCTCAGGTGCAAGACTAGCTGAAGAAGCCGTTTCCGGGGAAGCCAACATCTATAGGGGTGCAGATCACACTAATAAGGATGAGGTGGCCGGTCACGAAGGAGAAATGATCACCGAATCGGGAACCTACGTCCAGACGGTCAATACGCCCTTTGAGGTTCAGAACATCAAAGACGAATCAGGTGGGGAGGACAATATGGGTGACTCGGCTCTTGTAGATTTCACGGCTATCCGTATCAAGGAAGAATCTGCGTCTTGTGAAGACGGGAACGCCATGGACAACACACAGTTCTTGTCTATAAAGATCAAAGAGGAGTCTGTGTCAGAAGACGAAGGAAATGTCAGCTTTCCTGAAAACTATACAGCCCCGAAATACAAGAAACGCTGCTACACGTCTAAATATCGTGCCGAAGATGCCGATTCTGGTGGAGACGACACTGATTCTAACATGTACACACCAGCCGACTATGAGCAGTACCCGGCTACTCACACCGAACCCCCTCCAATGCTCTTCCCCAACAGTGGTGGTCCTGTGGACTTCTTGGGGTTTGATGACAGCAGTAACTTGGATACAGATGTAAACGCCCTAATAAAACACGCACATACGAAATTCTCATTCGCCCCAATCGAGGGAGGATCAGGTTCTGAGGAAGATGAGCCGGTTCCAGAACCTGAAATCCAGCCTCCACCCAAAGACGAAGGACCCCAAAAATCGACTTCTAATACAGAGGAGCCCAATTCAGGCGATGAAGGAACGAGCGAAGAGGCAGCCGTCACCTCCACCAAGAAAGACCGTACGCTGAAGACATACACGTGCTCCGAATGTCAGGAATGCTTCGTCAGGCGCTCAGACTTTGCCAATCACCGGAGAGATCACAGGAGGGAGAGACTGACCTGCCCGGAGTGCGGGAAAGTGTTTGCCAACAAGCCGACCCTTCTCAACCACCTGACCGGTCACACGGGAGAGAAACCGTATTCGTGTCCCATATGTGGCAAATGTTTCACTAGAAATAGCAATCTCATCGTCCATCAGGCCACCCACATAGAGCGGAGCCCCTTCACTGCCCTCAATGTCACAGATATGCTGGTCAAGCAGATCTTGTGAGATGAATCAACGTTGGATCTGCACGTCATCATGTGGAAGAAGCCATTTCTAACATACAGACAGCTATTAATATTTGACCTTGTTTACCGGAGTCCCCACCCCCTTTGTGACCTTGTGGACAGTAGCATGTGCGTCTTGTCTGTCAGTCCCCGCCCCTTTCCCGAATTTATGCAATATTCTCACCGTGGCATCAGGGAGACTAACCATCTATCTTGTTGTTTCCGTTGTTTCCTCCGACAGTCGGAGGGTGTTTTCCTTCGTGTTATGTGGCCAAAGTCTTCGAACTCGAGTATTTTGTCTTTCCAGGAAGGGGTTTTTTTTTGCCAATGGCGGAGGCCCACTAGCCCAGAGACGATACGAGGGACGTCATCCTGCCTGGAAACCGGCCGTCTTTGTTTCTTCTCATTTGTATCGTATATCTCGGGACTATTGCAAAAGATTCACAATACTGTTTGAGGATCGTTATTTTTTTATTTCCGAATATAAAGCAGACGTTCGCTGGGGCCGAGGAGCATTCAACGAGGACGGAAGTTGAAGATTTTTTTTTTTTTTCCTGCAATTTCATCTTATAATTTTTTTCATATTGAAAATAACAAAAATGTCTTAATTAAAGGCTGTTAATTAACCACCTGACAATATCTGGATGCGTGTTTACGCTTGCTATGTGACCATAATTCCTGACCATCCCCTCCCCCATCTTTGTTGTCCCTTGTTGAGAGACGACGCGTCTTTTACACCCGAAGATCTCTTTCACGGCAAGCCGTTTCATGTTCTGATTTTATTTCCGCGTTCACCTGTAACCTTCCTTATCTTCTCCCCGTTTTGTCCTGCCATATTTTATTTTTAGTATTGGGCTGAAATGAATAAATAAATATATATACTGCCTTGCTAGCAGCCGTGCATGATACCAGCGGCCTGTGTCTGCCTTTTTTTGTGTCGGGGGAGGGGGGGGGGGGTCACTGCCGGTCTCTTGTCCCATCTGTATGGATTGGGTGTTTGTGTGAGTATGGGGGCCGCCATTGCTGAGCTCTATTGCCAGTGCTGGTTCCCTGGCTGGTGCTTGGGGCTTTCTGATACTTTGACTTTAATGCTGTCGTTAAACCATACTTGTTCGTGGTCTCTGACTAAAGCCCTGGTGCCCAACCTCTAGTCCAGGGGACACATATGGCTCTTTGGTGTTTGAAATGTGGCCCTTGGGTCAGTGATGGAAACTTTGATTTGTAAATATACCTTCAATGGCAGTAGTCCCTTGCAGTTTAATATAACATGTCCATAAACTTTGACTGTCTCCTACATAATAAATTAATTTGCCAGCCGGTCCTGTAGAACAGTCTCTGACCATTTCCTTTAGTAGGTATTCATCTATGACGGTCTTCTGTAGAACAATCTCTGACCATTTCCTCTAGCAAGTCTTCATCTATGACAGCCTTCTGTAGAACGGTCTCTGACCATTTCCTCTAGTAAGTCTTCATCTATGACAGCCTTCTGTAGAACGGTCTCTGACCATTTCCTCTAGAGCAGGGGTTTCAGACTGGTGGCCCTTTCCAGCTGTTGCAAATCTGTACCATTTCATGCTTCTGCTTTGGGAGTCATGCTTGTAAACTGTCAATCTTGCAATGCCCTATGACGGGACATGTAGTTTGGCAACAGCTGGAGGGTCTCTGCCATTTCCTCTAGCAAGTCTTCATCTATGACGGCCTTCTGTAGAACGGTCTCTGACCATTTCCTTAGCAAGTCTTCATCTATGACGGTCTTCTGTAGAACGGTCTCTGACCATTTCCTCTAGTAAGTCTTCATCTATGACGGCCTTCTGTAGAACAATTTCTGACCATTTCCTCTAGTAAGTCTTCATCTATGACTGTTCTGTAGAACGTCTTGACCATTTCCTCTAGAAGTCTTCATCTATGACTTCTGTAGAACGGTCTCTGACCATTTCCTCTAGTAAGCCTGGAGTCTGTTGAAATCTGTCATTTCTGCCTTTGGGAGAAACTGTCAATCTGACCCTATTTCCAGCTATAGTTGACACCCTTTAGTCTTCAGATGACGTCTTCTGTAGAACGGTCTCTGACCATTTCCTCTAGTAAGTCTTCATCTATGACAGTCTTCTGTAGAACTTATCTGACCAATTACTGTAGTAAGTCTTCATCTATGACGGACTTCTTCTGTAGAAAGCTCTGACCATTTCCTCTAGTAAGCCTAGAGTCTGTGACTGTCTTCTGTAGAACTGTCTCTGACCTTTTCCTCTAGTAAGCCTTCGTCTATGATGGTCTTCTGTAGAACCATCTCAGACCATTTCCTCTAGTAGGTCTTCGTCTGACAGTCTTCTGTAGAACCGTCTCTGACCATTTCCACTATTATGTCTTCGTCTATGATGGTCTTCTGTAGAACCATCTCAGACCATTTCCTCTAGTATGTCTTCGTCTATGATGGACATCTGTAGAACCATCTCAGACCATTTCCTCTAGTAAGTCTTCGTCTATGATGGTCTTCTGTAGAACCATCTCAGACCATTTCCTCTAGTATGTCTTCGTCTATGATGGTCATCTGTAGAACCATCTCAGACCATTTCCTCTAGTAAGTCTTCGTCTATGATGGTCTTCTGTAGAACCATCTCTGACCATTTCCTCTAGTAAGTCTTCGTCTATGACGGTTTTCTGTAGAACGTTATATGACCATTCCTTAGTAAGCCTTCAGTCTATGATGGTCTCTGTAGAACCATCTCAGACCATTTCCTCTAGTATGTCTTCGTCTATGATGGACATCTGTAGAACCATCTCTGACCATTTCCTCTAGTAAGTCTTCGTCTATGACGGTTTTCTGTAGAACCATATATGACCATTTCCTTAGTAAGCCTTCGTCTATGATGGTCTTCTGTAGAATGGTCTCTAACCATTTCCTCTAGTATATCTTCGTCTATGGTGGTCTTCTGTAGAACAGTCTCTAACCATTTCCTCTAGTAAGTCTTAGTCTATGGTGGTCTTCTGTAGAACAGTCTCTAACCATTTCCTCTAGTAAGTCTTAGTCTATGATGGTCTTCTGTAGACTTCTTTCTTGAAGCCCATTAAGCACTCTTTAGCTCTAACACAGGTGTTCTAAATCCAGATGATAATGGGGAGTTTTGGTTTTCATGCGAAACCAGTTTCAGTTGGTCTTTAAGAGAGCTGTCCATAGCTTGTCAAATGTCAGCAAATTGATCTAGGCATGAATCGGTGAATAGCAGTGCATATTGTCTCAGCAATGTTTATGATGGGAGAGCCATCCAGAGTCGCACTGTGTGCCAGAACAGCATCTTCACTTAGCAGAGAAAGTCCCAGCGCCCCTACCTGCAATTCCCTGTTCTGTTATACAGTTTAGATGTTTGCAGTTGGCTATTCTGGGAGTGCCATCCTCTTGGTTGAACCTGAGAACATTTAAAATCTACCTGCTCCATTGAACTGCCCAGTTCCGATTCCCTGCCCATTGTATTGTACACAGAAATGTGCATACCTTACCAATGCAGAATTGCCAGGCATGGAGTAAGATGCCCCCAATACATGTGTTGGTTTTGTAGATCAGGAAAGAGTTGCAGTAGTGGGGGTTGCCCGGGATTTACACTGAAAGGTAGAAGGACAGGTTCCTCTTGTGGACCCCAGAGTACTGCATGCATGCAGATATCTTTCGTAAGAAGAGGTTCTCTGGCCTTTGTATATAGACATGCCCCAGCCCATATCACTCATAATTTGCTGTCTTACCGACCAATGTCTACAAATGTCTCCAAGCAGAATTTCTTCACTCCAAGATGCTGATATGGTCCGGTATGTTAAAGAGAACTCTGCTTTTCAGTGTCTATTAGAGATTAATGTGGACTAGATCACTCTCCTCATTCCTGCTTCTCCACTAATCGGTTGGTCTACGTTGTATCCAGCTTAGCCCATCCACCCCTCTACCTTCCAGTTCACATTAGTAAAACCGTGTTTAATTGTTCATTAATGAGCACAGGGTTAGAAGGCTTCTTGGGCAACTGTAGTTGGGGTTAGGATGTTAATCAGTCAGTATAACCCCTCCTACTCCCATCATGCTTCATTTTTTTTTTTGCTAAGGTCCTAGCAGTATGAACATTTCTTCTCTAAGAAAAATTAATCTATTTCACTTGATATTTATTTCTTTTTTAACAAGATCCTTGTTTCACTGCAAGCCAAGAGAGTCTCTATTATAGTCTTCCAGGGTAGCTGCTTCTTGGTGTTGCCTTGTAAGTCGTACCTGGCCTAGCCATGGTGAAGACATAGGGCCTACCTGTGATGTTCAGTCACTGGCCTCTGCTTGTGGCACTCTCCAGGCACCTAGTGCTGCTTGTGGCACTCTCCAGGCACCTAGTGTACTGGTAGCTCTAGATCACTTTACCCCTCCAGGGTTGTGCCTACCTAAGCGGTGAAGTCTGGAATGTGAGCTCTGGGTGCTGCATTGACATTCTCGAGTAATTTATTGCTGCAGGGTGCTCTCCAGACCTCGGCTACAGTAGCTGCTGGGACTTTCTTCCTTTTTTGTTTGGGAGGCTGGTGTGTGTACTGTGTCCCCTTTTTCATCCCCTGCGGGGGTTAACACTTGAGGGACCCAGCACTGTGACACTCTTTCATTGCATTGGGTTCCTCTGGTATATGTTCTACTTGATCTCCTGCTGATTCCTCTTATCAGGTTTACATAGTGCAGAATCTTTGACATATGTATGTCCTGAACACCTTAGCTGTAGGGGACTTGAATGCTGATGAAAGCTTGTCTCCCAAACAAAATTCTGGAGTTACTTTTTTTATTTGTCCCTTCAATGCTGGTCCCCTCAAATACAAGGTCATCTGATCTGGATTCAGTTGGAAGATGCCTGCCAAAGCAGTGGCATTCGTCAGCAATCGGGGGGGTAAAGTCTCATGGC